TTAAAATTATGTTCGCCATAAAAAGAACCTACTGGAGTTTGGAAGTTAAAAATTGCTGCAATAATTCTGTAATTGGTGCATAAACATGCAAAAATTAGATGTTCGGTTGATTTTCTTAATTAGTAATCTGCAGTAATGAAAGGAATAAACAAAGATGATCCTAGCTAAAGAAATATATATGCTCCTATACATATTATATTACCAGAACTGCTGTCATATTATTATTCTGAACAAATGAAGGCTAAGAAACTTTCTGAGGAAAGTTTGCTGCAAACTGATGAAAGCTCCATGGATGAAGTGAAGAAGTCTGTAAGATGGTAACGCATCTGGCTATATGTAAGTTAAATATAATAACCTGAGCTTGTTGATAGTAAAATAATCTTAAATGATAAGAAATTATATTGATGGAGGGAATTTAGGGCCTATTTTTTGTGTGATGAGTTGTTCTGGGAGCAGAGCCACTGCTGCCTGACTTCTTGGATCTTGTAGATCTGCTGTGGGTTCCAAGTTACCTCATTCCTTTGAAACCTCTCCTTCAGACTGGAAATTATTTACCTTAGACGCTTTCAGAAAATTCAAGGGAACATAATTACCTTTGAGGTCTTTATATAGTAAATGGATTTTCAATCTGCGGGGCAGTTTCAGACAGATACAGAGTGACAAGCAGACAGATGTCTAAAGCATTGTACTTCTACAAGTTCTATGTTTTCCCTATGAAAAAAGATATCTTTTGCTAAAAGTGCTAAATTAAGGACAAGATAATGTGTCTCCAGCATTTTACTGCATATAAAGGGCGATTACAAAATGGAAAGGGGAAAATAAGGCAGGAGAGATAAAGAGTCATGTGGCTGAGAAGAAGGAAAAGGATGGGAGAAATCTCTTATCCCACTTAAGACAGAGGCTGACAGAGTGGATGGTGGCTTGGAGCCCCGTTCCAAATTGGTAGAAGGCAAAAGTTGAATTTGTCCTGAAAGAGAAAGCTCAGAAGCCCAGGGCTGAATCTGAGCCAGTGTGTTTCTGATAGGATTTTGATTTGTAAATGTTTAGTTCCAAATCCAACTAAGATGAAGTGGATAGAGGTTGATTATGGAGAAAATTAATTTTAGTTTCTTGCAAATTAAACATTATGAGAGGGAAAAACCCTAGCACTTACTTTAGGAAAAGAAAAAAAAAAAAGAAATTTTGCCTATAAATGGAAATTTTATTCACCCCAAGATATTTTAAATGGACATTTTGCTTAATTTCTTTTTCCTTGGTAATGTCAGCAGGATTGTGTGAATTTCCAAATATAGCCCATTCCATTTAAGTGGTATTTTAATACAGAAAAATATTTAGGTAAAATTTTTCCAACTGATTCTAGTTTATGTCCAGATTAGAGGCATATTTTAGCAGAATCTTCTCAGGTGCCAAGAACAGAAGGATCCCTGGACTTTGGACAAAAACACTTGCCTTGTTTTGGCTGGTCAAAAGAAGAGATCAGACAAAAAAATCTAGCTTCCCCCAAATTCATAACTTTTCTTATTTTTTTTCTTTGTTTGAAATTACATCTTTGACTCCCATAGCATATGTTCTTGCATGTGTTTCTTGGCACTCCTGAAGGGCAGATCTGTTTCCTACATGCTTCCTGCCTTAATTTTTTCTGGGGAATTAATTTTGTCCTGGATATGTGTGCAGGATTCCTGTGACAGCCATAATTTTTCTTTAATATCAATGTATACACAGAGCTTCTGTATTAATACTGAGTTTGCTACCTGCCCACCAGCAAAGCCATATGCTAGAATCAAATGTTAATTGGTTATCAGTTGGGGATTTAGTCCTACTCATCTGCTAGATTGATAGAATGAGAAACTTACACCAGAGTCAATGGAACATACTCTCTAGTCCTGTTAAATTGCCTGTCTGTCATAGATTTGTTCCATTACAGTCACAACACAAAATGAGGTTTGGATTTGTTTTTTAGCGTTGCAGGCTCTTTAAAATTATTGGTTTGTTTTCCAGTGTGGATTGACAGGAATCTAGAGAATCGGGGAGGATGGAGGGGACCTCTGGAAGACATTGAGTCCAGCCTCCTCCTCGAAGAGACCAGAACCTTGGCCCACTGAACTTTGAGTGCCTTTGAGGGAGGAGATTTCCCAGCTGCTCAGGGCACCTATTGCACTTTTTCACCATCCTCATGATAAAATTCTTTCCTTGCAGCATGTTCCTCCTGCTTGTGCCTGTTGCCTCTGAGAAGGACTTGCTCTTGCATTTTCCTGGACTCAGGTGGTGGCAGACCAGCAGCAGGGTCTGCCCTGCATCTTCTCTGGGTCTGAACAGCCTCAGATCTCAGCCTCTCCCCTCATCCCAACACCTTGGCAGCTCTCTGATGGGCTTGCCTCAGTTTCTTAGTAGTTTTCCTGTCCCCGGATGGGACCCCACACTCCAGAGGTCTCACAAGTGCTACATGGAGGAGAAAGATCACTTTTTTTGTTCAGCTGGTTTTGCTGGTGATTAACACAGCCAGGGTGCCATGACCACAAAGATTCCCTGCAGAATCTTTTTGAGTGAAGTTACTCCATCCTGGGTGCAGCTGTGGGAATAACTGATGAACCTGGAAGCATTTTAATTATCTGTGATCAAGAGCTGTTGGGTTAGAAAATGGGAAAATGTTTGTCCTAGGGCTGTGAACAGGGACACAGCCATACAACAGTTCTTAGATTATGTACCCTTGGGGATATCCTGCTCCTAGCCAAGGAAGTCAGGGCTACAAATTGAGCAGAACCCTCTTCTTACACATAACTTCACCACAGCAGTGCCTAGTAGGGAGCAACATTTCAAAGATTTATACCTAAGTCTGTACCTCAAGAGCACTTGGAGTAAAAAGCAAAGCATGTTCTAAAGTCTTCCAAGGGACAAAGTTTGAACAAAATATTGCTAAATCTGTGAACAAGCAGCAGAAAATACTGTGTTAGTAAAAAATTTAAGATTTAAAGGGTAAAAAGTATAGTTAAAGAGACAAAGAAGAGGAAATAGTTTTACCAAAGCCTGGCGTGCAATAAAAGAATAAAACAAACAACTGAGATGCATACTCATCAAAAACACAGTTGTTAATTGAAAAGCTGACAGACCTGTAACTACAGCAGTGCCTCTGGCCGCCACTATAATAAATGTAACTGTACATTTAGAGTAATTTGCTAATTTGCCTAAGTAACACCCACAGACAGTGACATGACATAAATACATTAGTGGAAGCAACAACTATAACCAGCTCATACAGGTTCTTGGCTGCTAGATGGATGGATCAGATGAGCTGGAAAAGATTTACCAAACAGAACAGAAATGGAGCTGGTAACAACATTGTGGGATACAGGATTTCTTTATTCCTTTAAGGCCTGAAGATGCCCATACATATTGCAGCATGTAAATAACATTTTTAACTTGTGTGTGTATGTGTGCACCCACCTGGAAAGTTTGTACAGGTGGGGTACACATCTGCTAAATGCTAAGTGCTTCAGAAGCAAAACGGAGAAGCCTTTCAGGAAAATTACTGACTCTTGAACATTTAACATGTAATTATAAATATCTGAAAAGAGTTTTTGTTAAATATTCTAAAGGCACATATGCATTTGGTTCATAGGAAAGATTGGAACCAGGCACATATGCATTTGGTTCATAGGAAAGATTGGAACCTGTACCATCAGATTTCCTAATACAGGTGTTCAGAAATTTGTACTTCAGAATCACCTAAATCTTCATTTGGCAAAGTTCAGCCCTGTGTCACCTCCCTTAGGCTAGCATTGTTCTGTCTTTTGTTTCCATAACTCTGAATCACACTGTTGCATTTTATTCTGAAGTCCTACTCATGCCAACTTTTGCCATTGCATATTAACTGGTTTTTTATATTCTCTAAATAGCCTGCCTCCAGGTTAAGCTTGGGCCATCGCTAAGGATTTTTATGTTATCTACAATGCATTTCTAAAATTAAAACCCCACAAAATTGCTGTTATGCAAGGTGGGTTTAATTTTCAATAAAATATTTCTTTCTGGTCCCAATCCCCTCTTCTGTCTTCATCCGGATACAAATTAACAGTGCAGAAACAAAGCTAATGAATGCAGCTTTGCACAGTTTCTGTCTTTGTTTCCTCCCAGATGTGCTTAGGAGGTTTGTGCTGAGCTGTTTGAGACAGGCCATGCCAGCTCTCAGGAGCTGAATCCAGTGAATAACCAAATGTGGAGTCAGGTGAAAAGTTTCTGTTTCAGTGCTGCTCTCAGGAAGAGCCCACGTGTGTGGGCATATATATTCTTGCCTTCATCAGGAGGTTGTTCTAAGGTTTTTCACTAAATACGGGTTGTAAAATATTCTTGAACATGAATCACTTTAAATTATAGTCCACAGAGCTAAGGGAGTCACTGAGAAAATGGAGCAGGAAATAAAAAAAACATGGGAGAGAGGCAAAGAGTGAGATTTCACTGTGGGATTTGGATTTTTGACAGCCAAACTGAATCCATGCCTTGCTTGAAGGCTTGATATTAATGTCAGGGCAAAGACCCCTCTGGCTGACCCAAGTTGTGAGTGTCAGTACAGGCTGACAAAGACCTCAGCTCTGGGAGAAGAGAGCTGACATGATTTTATGAAGCATTACGGCTGATCTTCTTTGAACCCTAATTTCTGTCAAAGAGTTATCATCACTGTCACAGTAAATGATACTTGCAGCACAAATGGCAATTAACTAGAAGTAAATAGTAGAGCAGAAGTCTGCAGACTGGTTTTTAAGGTTGATGAGTTGAAAGTAATTTCAACACATTAATGCTAAGCATGCTAAATCATAGTGTGCCATGAAAAAGACAGTAATGTCATTTACCTGAAATCAGCAGGAATTACAACAACATGTAGTAAGGGTAGGCTCAATTGTTCCACATATGTGAGCATATTACAGGAACCAATAACACTTTGTGTATCTGTTTGCTTTTATCAGATTTTTTCATAAAACAAGTAATTTGTTTGTTTTTCACTGTTTTAGGTAGCCTGCCCTATGAATACAAGATTGTGATAGCAGGAAATCATGAATTGACCTTTGACCAGGAATTCATGGCTGACTTAATCAAGCAGGACTTTTACTATTTCCCCTCTGTTTCTAAGCTGAAGCCAGAGAGCTATGAAAATGTACAGTCTCTTCTAACAAACTGCATCTATCTTCAAGACTCTGAAGTGACGGTGAGGGGATTCAGAATATATGGCTCCCCTTGGTAAGCAGGTTTTTAAGCATACATAAAAAAAATATTGTTGATTGCTATCACATCAGCCATTTTGTCTGCATCAGCTGTATTTGGATTGCTGTGCTAGGAAGAAAAGTAACACTCACTTTGATAAAGTTTTTATCTTTTCTTGTAATGAATCATTCCTGGGACAAAATAATGTACTGTACTGTGGGTATGGTTAACCAAATAATGATGGGGAAAAAGGTGGTGTGCTCTTCAAACTCTCAGCCAGGAGCTGTTGTTTAACAGTCCAAACAGGGGGCTTTTGTGTCATAAAATATGTTTTCTATCCTCAGTGAGTTCATTTATTTACAGGTTAATTTTATTGCAAGGGTACATTTTTTTGAGAATTTCCATCCTACAGATAATATTGGAGGTTCATTAGTGTATACAGTAGTCATTTAACGCAGCGAGCTTATTTCAGCAACTCTGAGGGTCTTTTATTGCATATCCCTCAGAATCTTACTTTCTTTTATGAAGTAATAGCTTTCCTCAAGGTCTAGCTGAGATTCTAAAGTCAACAACTCAGTGGATATTTGATATTAATATTTGTTGGATTTTGTTCTACTGCACAGTGAACACTTAGAACCCTTGACAGTATCGGGGGCAGATGGATTTTAGTTCCTGACTTCCTTGTATGTGCTGCTTTTGTGTCTCTCACTAATGTCTCATTGCTGTTTATTATTTCTGCTGATGGGCCTGTAAATTGGGTCTTTTGTGAGCATTTGGTATATGTTTTAAAAAAGTAAAAATGTATTTTAAAAGGCAGGGTTTTAAGGGAATATATTATTCTTCCTTTTAACATCACATCAGGCTGAAATGTAGCAAACAAGTTGTCAAACCTGATGCATATACCCTGATGTGAATTTTCAGTGTGAATAAACTGTGAAATCTCTTGGATTTTTTTCTTTTTTAATGAAAATTGGCTTTTTCCCATTTGGTTACTTGAGATGGGTGTTAATTTTGTCTGAGCTTATTATTCTGCATTTGTGTAGATTAGTTTCCCTCTTAAATGCACCCTTCTCTTTCTCCCTCTCAGACTTCCAGATCTTTCTGGGTTTTTTTCAACCTACCAACCTGCTGTGTTGTATTTCTTCCTCTTGTGTGTACAATATATGCAGTCAATGTGCAGCTTACTTAATTTTCCAAATGATTTGGGAAGATGTTAGATGGTATCAGTCCCAATATTAACTTCTGAGAAATGCCACTTGGCATCTTTTCCCATTTTGATGTTCAACTGTAAATACTGTAATTATGCTCTGTTTACAATATGTTTGGTAACCTCATATCTTCATTGCCATGTTCATAACCAGGCACCATATTTCCAGTGTCAGTAATAATCTTCCAGGCAGTGAAGTACCAAAAGTCACATGGAAGTCGAGAGAAATTAAATTAAAGCAAAACACTTTCTATGAAGAAGCACTATGTAGAGGCTAAAGAGAAGCACTTGAACTTTCTGTGTGTGATTAAATCTGCAAAAACCTGTTGAGAAAACCTTTTGTCCACCCACTAGCCCATAAATAATGCTTCTGTAAAATCAGCTCTACCACATTCCCTGTGTGCACAAATCATGTCACTGTACAAGTTGCCTGAGCTATCTGCTGTGATCTATCCTTCAAGTAAAAAGAACATTTTCCATCGTTTCTGCAACTCCAGGTCATAGCTACACTTCCACACTCCATCTTTTACAATGCTGCTAAATCATCTCCCACCCCATTATGGTCCAGGAAGTTGAATGTTGCGAGGTCTCCTGAAAATATTTGCCTTCTCTGTCTGGGAGAGGGTCTGATGAAAGTCTTCCAGCCAAACTGAGTTTTTTTGCTTGCTATCCAGCAATGCTGAATGAAGTTTCCACACCAATGGATGACATGTCCAGTGGAAACATCAACAGTAGCAATAAAAGCCCTTCATCAATCTATCAGGGCAGCAGATGCAGAGTCCCATCAGCCAGGCCACCAGTCAGAAAGCTTGGGAAGACAAACAGCTCTTGTGTGGGTGTACAACTAGCTGCTGCTGGATTTCAGGCTGTGCTACACTCCTGTGCATAGTCAGTACCACTGTTCTTTGGTATTTCTGCTAATATACTTTGCCCTAAAAGGAGAGGTTTGTCCTAGTCTCTCTGGGAAATCAATCTCAGTTTCTTTCTACATCATAGTAATGTAATCTCTAAAAAGATGCAGACATTTCTTGAACTTTACATGGTGAATATTTTTTTTGACCTAGCATTAAAAAGCTAGTTCACTAGAAAATATTTATGAACATAGTCAAGACCTCAAAGTTTAAAGTTCTTTAAGGTCTCAGAACTCCATAAGAAAGTCAAATTTCTAATATCTAAGTCTAATATCCTAAAATAATTTCTCCTGTTTTGAAAATATGCACTTAAACTTGCCATTTCTAATTGCAGCGCTGACCTTCTGTCTTACATCACCTTTTGTAGAAATAATTAGAAGCTAGAGATATCCCTCATTCATAAAATGCATTGATCAATAGTTGCAAAGTACTTTAAGAACACTGGAGTGACGTCTGAGTGAAAGCCAAGCAGCATTAACTTAGTGTCTTTTACCTGTAGCCATCTGCATTTTTATATATTACCTGCACACATTAGATTTTACTTCTATTTAAAAATTTTTAGTTGCAAATTAAACAATGAGAGCTTGATTGGTTTGTATAACATGCCAGTCTCTAAGGTCGTTTAAATATGTACCACTTGAGTGGGGTTAAATACTTTTAATAGCACTTGGTACTTTGTCCTCTATTATTACCTAAAAACCAATTGCTTATTTTTAATCACACAGAAGAAATGGGACAGTGTTTTGTCTCAGAAGCCAATGCTCTAACTCTCCTGGGCTCCGAGGGCAAGAATTCAAGTGCCAGATCGAGCCTCTACTCACTAACAAAAATTGAACTGTCTTAATTGTTAATTACACAAGTGTTATCATTGAGCAGGGAGCAGCCATTTTGCAATGCCACTTGCAATGCACAAAAGCAGGAATTAATATTACTTAGGAATTAGTACGCCTTAGGAATTAATACTTGCAAAAGCCGTATCTTGGACCATGGATTATCAGGATAGATGATGAGGAGGAGAAGTGTGAAAACATTAGCAGATTCATTGAAAAACTCAAGAATATCAAGATTTTAAATGTGTCCAGAGCAATGCTGAATGCAATGGGTAGTTGTTTGGCCTAGGGGCATGATGCTTCTCACAGCGCACGTGGGGCTGGCTGCCAGATCTGGATGAGCAGGGCGCCAAGAAGGATGCAATGTGCTTCACAGAATCCCAGGATGGCTCAGGCTGGAAGGGACCACGGTGGGTCATGGTGCCACCTCCCTGCTCCAGCAGGGCCATCCCAGAGCACAGGGCACAGGATTGTGTCCAGAGGGGTCTGGGATATCCCCAGTGAGGAGACTCCCCAGCCTCTCTGGACAATCTGCTCAGGCTGGGTCCCTGTCCAGGACAGAAGCTGTGCCTCCTGCCCAGGTGGAGCCTCCTGGGCTCAGTCCCTGCCCGTGGCTCTGGTGCCATTGCTGGGCCCCAGAGCAGAGC